GTTTCAGTCCTCTCTCCTGAGCAGTTTACTGACATTCAATGTGTCCACTGCCCATCTATGATCCGAAAATTTATGCCCAGCACTCACTAGCTCTCTTGGCAGGCACTGTCAATGTTCCTCTAAATGTAAAAAATACTGGAAGGGTAGTGATGGTCATTTTTGGCTGGGTGGCAGGCAGAAGAAGAAATGGGCAGTTTGGTATAATGCTGCTGGTACTTAACTTTATTAACCATAGTTTTATCAAAATAAAGAACTTCATAGTACAATGGATTTGGGTATTTCTTCCATCTAGTTTTAAGAAAGAAATATTTGAATTATCAAGATTCTCCATCTCTGACAGACACTTCTCATATGAGAGCCAAAACACATGCAAATGATGCCAAGGTTTGTTAATACCAGAGTGATGGGCTTTGTTTCCCATTTAACTGATTTAGGAGATTCATATCTCATATGTGCTTTACTGATGATAACAGATTTTCATTTGTATCTTCTCATGCTCCTCTGTATTCCTCTATATCCTTATTAGCTTAATATCATGTTTTTCTCTATTTTTATGCATATATTTTCCCAGTTTCTCTGATCACATATTCCTCACCTATGCCATGATAAATCCAAGCCTTACTGTGTCACTACACATCCTTCCCCATTTCTATATTTTTCTCCTTCTATCTTTTCTTCATTTATGTATGCAACTACACACAACAAAGATCCATCCATCCATTTACTTAACTTGGTTCCTATAAGAAACATTTTGTCTTTCTTAACTAATTTTAAGCTGTTTTAAAATGCAGCACCTAGAGAAAGGTAAATTTATCTCTCCTTTTCCTCCAAGTAGTAGATATCTTAAACCTGGGGCAGAGAAAAAGAAATAAAATTTGAAAATTCCATTCAGCGGTGAGGAACCTGACCAGCCTAATGGGTAAGTTAGCACAAAATAATAAATTCAGGCAAGGCCCTGTTCTAAAATGGAGTCCTCTCAGACAGTCCTGGAATAAGGACATTTGTTTGGTGAGCTTTTGTTTACACTTCAAGAGCCAGATAACATCATTTCTTTGATGAAGGTCATCCTGATGCCATCATATTCAAGGTTACTATTTTTCCCCTTGTGATACCACCATCTTGTACGTATGTTGAATAACTTTATTACATTATGCTCCAGTGATTTAAGTGGCTTTCTCCATAACGGGACTGTGAATTTCTTCAGGAATGAAACTAGTTTTTATACTCATCTTTATTCCAGCAACTAAGCCAGTGCCCAAGACATGATAAGTATTCATAAATACTGCTTGAGTGAACCACACTAAGCGATCTCTAAATCACACATAGTCCAAGAGATTAATCCACGCAGACACTGTTATTTAGGAGTTGTTTCTTGTGACATTCATATTCACAGGCAAAAAAAAAAAAATGAACTGACATATTCAATACTTACGACAACTTTAACATGTTTGGATAGATCTCTAGAACTTCTCTGTAGGAAATCAGAAAAAGCTGCCTATACATCATAAGGGGAAAAACAAAAAACTTAGTTAAGTGGTTTTTCCATATCCCACTTTCATCTTATAGACAGTTCCCAATGATTCCAAATTATACAAAAATATATAACAAGTTCTCCTTTTGCTGAATCCACAGTAAAGCAGGAAAATGATTATCAAGTTGAAATATTTCTTTTTGTTTTTCAAACTATAATCTCTAGTAAAATTTAAGACTACAGACAGAGGGTGAAAAACTGGATAATTCCAAGGGTCAGTGTGAAGATGACTTTGGCTGTCCTCCCTGACTGTCCTACTGGTCTGTTAGATGCTAAAATAATCTTTAGCATTGCCACTGAGAATGCCCTGCTTTACCTCTTTTGACTCCCTCTATGCAGAGGAATAAACTGTACTTTCTTAATTAATATTTTGGATGACTTTTTCCTGAGGAGGAAAAGAAGGGTTTTCCATTAATTTCATATCTGCTTCCATGAAATTCTTCCCATATTCTGTCAATCTATCAGTTTCTCATCCAAACATCAATGTGTACATGTGAAAATGACATTCTTATCTGAGACTCTTTATACATTTTTCAGTCTGTCGATAAAGTTTTCCAACTACCTGCCTGATTTCCCCAGTCCTTACATTGGTTTTGATGTTTTCCATATGCCTCCCTGAATATCACCTACTCTTATACAGCATGAAGCCTTGTATCTTTAAAATTCAGAGATGATAAATATCAACTCCCTTTCTGACAACAAACTTAAAAAAACACACCATTACTTTCATTCTTAAATGAAGACATTAAATAGTAATTATATAGAGACAGATAAAAATGTCTGATATGTTATAATTTTTAATATAATTAGTGTCATTGAATTAATATTAAATAACATATAATGATTATAAAATGAAATATGTACTTACCCCTGCATAAAACATTTTATTTCGAAAACGACTATTGAATTTCTCTGGATTTGCCTCTGTGAAAGAGGAAAGGTAGTTTTGTTATAGGCACCTCATTAGAGATTAGCAGTTTTACCCCCAGACCTACCTTAAACTATAGGGCCAAAAGATCCTTGAGCAGTTTTGGGTTTGTTTGTTTGTTTTTGATTTTGTTTTTTTAATCATCTTTCCCTAGGATTCAGGGAAATATAGTGGCCCAGTGCTAAAAAAGTTTAGCTCCAAACTGGCAACATCAGAGCAAATTGGCAGCTTGTTATAAATGCAAATCATTAGTCCCTACCTAAACCTACTAAATTAGAAGTCTGCATGCAGAGACTAGGAATGGTGGTGAGTCTCATGAATATTAAAGCTTGCGACACTCTGGACTCTTCCAAATAGCAGGTTGGCAGGAATTTGGGAAAGAGATGATAGGGAGAGATGATAGGAGGTAAAGAAGTGATTATTTTCATTGACTTCTACAGGACATTGCTTCCATAAACTATATACACAACTTCCAAATGTAATCAAATATGGAGAATTTAGATAAAAATTAATGGAGAGTTTGCTTTTATAAAATTTCTGCACTACCATCTGTTCTTGCTTGTCACAAGCCTTGGAAAATTATTTGTTTTGATGGAGAATACACACACACACACACACACACACACACACACACACACACACACACAGATGGTCTACTGAATGGATTTGGCTTATTACAGCAAAGGCCTTGACTAAAAATGATTTTAATTTGGATTTTGCCTCTGTATGCTATAAAGTTTGAAGACCCCAAAAGATGAAACAAAAATGGGTGTCAGAATTTTCATGTGAATTAAAGGGACTATAAAATCCCCAAATTAACTATAATTTTCTCAAATGTTTTTCTTCAAAAAAGTTTTAAGACATTCTAAAAGAAACTACTGTCCACATTCGGCCTTCTACTATTTTATTCCAGACACCCATCATTTCCTTCTTAGTCTAGGTCTTTCTCCCAGTCATTTCTCGATAGGTAGCAGGATGACAGGCTGAAGCTAACCGTGTTTGTGAGTGCCAATCCCAGCCATCACCCTGAAGAGTAACAGAGTTCACTCTCCAAGACCAAACAACATGCCTAGGACCTCAAGAAATAATCCTAGACAAATGATTCTTAGATTATTTTCATGATTATTGCATCATCATGGCAGCACATGACATGGAAACAAGTTGAGAGCTACAAATTTTTGTAGATTGGTCCTGGAGAGCTGTCTTCATTGATATACAGTTTCTGTATATCAAAGCTTTTCTATACTCTGTTCTAAGTTCTCTAACCCTAGAAACAAAATGAAATGAAGGCTCAATTATACATTAAAAAAAAAGAAGATGAAAATGGCATTAATTGATCTGCATCCTGATTTCCCATGCTTGGCCTGAGAATAAACCATTTTCACATTTTAGGTCTAGTGCAAGTAAATGTGGCTGTTGAACAACATGTCATTTTTATCTATTTTTGAATCAGATTTACCTGGTACCATTTGCATGTACCTTTACATTAACTGTCTCACTTTATGAAACCAGAGGTAAAATGAGAACCTTTTTACTGTGCAATTTATCATGAGTACATAGATACTAATTAAAAAAGAAACAACAACAACAACAACTCAGGCCCAGCTATTAAGCAAGCTACAGGCAAGGGAAAACAGCAGCCACAATGCTGGCAGAGAACTTTTTCAGGGCATTGATGCCCATAGCTATTAAGTGAATCATCTGTCAACTACTAACATTTATTAATTTTATAATTTATGGTTTGAAAATATTTATATTGCAATGAGGTTTTTCCAGAAGCTGAAAAAATATTTCTTTTTAAAGAATAGTTTCTTCTTCCTCTCAAAAGACAGACTATTTCTATCTTTAAGATCTCCCCAAATGATGACAAAATTAAGAACTAAGCTGAGTTTTTGGTGATTTCATGCACACATTTGAGGAAACCAGTCACCTCAGATGTATTTAGTGAAGTCACTAAATAACATGAAATAAGAATTTAAAAATAGAGATCCATCAAGACACCTCACATTCAGAGAGGTGTTAAAGACATAAGGTAAACAGGTAGGAGATTTGCACTTATGCTTTGGGTGTGAGGTTAGAAAAGGTTCAAGGGAATCCTCTTAGTCCCAGGACAAGAAATTTGCATATTATGCTGTGACACACACCCTGATGGCCTTTGACAGCTGGATTCTTTTCCTATGTCCACATCTATGCTATTCCAAGCAAAACAGAAACAAACAAACAAACAAAAAACAGATTCACAAACAAGGGGCAGCTGGAGATGTTTTAGCTTAGACCTAGAGCTTCAACACTTCCAGTGGAAGCCAGATCACACGAAAGTCAGGAAGAGCCTGCAGAAAACGATATTCAGCAATTTCCCACTGGCTTTTAAAAAGAGCTAGGATGATTGATTGTCTGTGTGCATGCACAGGAGCTGGTATGCCTTCAGGGAGGACCAAGAGTGAGGACTCCAACTACATCAAGAAACAGAAGGAAGAATAAAGAATTGGGAAAGCGTCAGAGAGAAAGTGTAAGAGCTCTCGGTCCTTCAGGAAGTTGTGTCTGCTGGTTGCTTTGAGATAAACATGAAAGACCACCCTCAAGAAAGGCTAGCAATTCTCATAATATCCCAAGACTCCAACAGTGGGAGGATCCTTGATACACTGCTCCAATTCCTGGGTTGCCCATTCTCCTCCTCTGCAAAAAGTGGTGTCAGACAGCGAGGCCCAAGCACTCCCTGGATTCATCCAGATCTTTCTTCTGTTCATAGTGTGACTGAACACCAATGGTAGCTTTATTAATTTTTTTATTCCTGCCACAACAAATCACTATAAACTTGGCAACTTAAAACAACATCCATTAATTTCCTTAAGAGTTCTTCAGGTCAAAATTCTGGACGAGGCTCTCCTGGGTACTCTGCTTAGGGTCTCATAAGACCCAAATCAAGGTGTCATACTGGTAAACCCTTATTGAGGGCCATGGGAAAGATTCACTTCTAAGCTTATTCAGGTTGTTGGCAGAATCCATCTCCTTAGGGTTGCAGGACGGAAGTTCTCTCTCATTGCTGGATGGTGTCCAGGATTAATTCCCACTTCTAGAGGCTTCCTGAATTCCCTGGTTCCTGATCCCTTCCATCATCAAAGTCAGCAATGGAACATCAAGTCTTCACACTCTGAATCATTATGACTTCCCCACTTGCTCTCCTCTTCTGCTTTTAAGAGCTCATGTTTTTAGTTGAGTCCATGCAGATAATCTAGAATTCTCATCCTATCTTAAAGTCACCTGATACATTAACTTGCATCACATCACAGAGTCCTTTTGCCATGTAAGGTAACACAGCTGACAGAGCCAGATGACAACTGGTTGTGGAAGCCAAAATGCTACAGTCATTGTCCACTGTCTGCCACATAATCCACATCCCTCTCATTTGAAAAACATATTCACTCCCTCCGAGATCTCTAAAGACCTCATCTCATTATAGCATCAACTCAAAATCCGAAAATCTCATCTAAATCTCATTAGCTCAAATTTCCCAAATCTTATTATCTAAATCATCTAAATGATTTAGCTCCGGATATAATCCATTTGTAATGATGATGGAGCTGTGGGTATAATCCATTCAATTGACTCAACGTATTAACAGCAGGCTTATATCCAACACAATAGCATGACAGGAGCCATCAGAATGGGGATCCTAAAACCCTGCTTTTGTCTGTGATTGGCCTTGCAGATACAGCTTTCAGTTCCTTCCAAATGTTTATTTCAGTCCAGTTATCACCCTCTAGGTCTTTGGAGGGCCTGACAAAAGCATATTAGCTCACTTTACAGAGTTTATTCGTTTACTCTTCATAAGCTTTTCTCCCCTTTCTCCTTTAATGGCCCTTGCAAATGACGCCCAGAGACTGTTCTATTTGAGCCGGTATGATGGCCTTCCTGACACCTGTGTCTTCAAGAAAGGAGGAAGTCCAAAATACATGAGTCACCTTGTTCCTGTAGTGCTTTCCTCTTACAAAGACAAA